TGCGCGGCCTCGGCCTGGGGGCCGTTAAACCGCGGGAGCCATTTCCCCGGCTACAGCGGTCCCAGCCCCTCCAAACCCCCGAGTCCCAGCTGGCCTGGGAGCAGAGGCAGCAAAGCCTGGTAAGAAGGAGAGGGGTGGCAGTGAGAGCAAAATGGTTGGCAGACCTCTCCGGGGCATTCATTACTCTTCTCCCCGGAGTTTGGTCGACGTTTCGTCCTGGGGCTTTTACTACCAATTTCAACATACTCAGTTCACCCCTATACCGAGTGGCCATATGCTACCGCTAGAAAAGATCTCTCTCTCTCGCTTCCTCGAAAAGCAGAACTAAGAGTCCTTTATCCTACCTACTTTGTAACAGGGTTTTAAAGGCAAATTTTCTTTAATTCGAAGTTTATCAAAGCCGCAGGCAGGGTGCGAATTCGATCATTTGAATGTTTTTACTTTAACTATATGCCACACACTATTCGGAGTGGAGTGTCCTGCACTCTGACACTTGGAAGTAAGCAATACATTACGATACAATGTAGCAGTTACAGAAGCACCTAGACCAGTGGTCTCAACGTTGGCTGCACATTGGAATCACCTGGGAATCCTTTTAAAATCCCGATTTCTGGGCCTCAACCTCCGGCCTCCGGAAATTCTGTTTCTTTGTTATGGGGTGGGGCCACAACATTAGTAACAAAAAAACAGAATTTCCAGAGGATGAGGCCCAGAAATCAGGATTTTAAAAAGATTCCCAGGTGATTCTAATGTGCAGCCAAGGTTGAGAACCACTGACCTAGACACTGGAGGAAGGAAGACCGCGGTAGAGATCTCTGAGCTGCCTTTTTAAAGAGTAATGGGCGCTCCCAGGTAGGAAAGTCAGGGGCGTGCATTTTAGGCAATGCTAACCATTATGCAAAATTTCGAGGATGACGAAATAAAGACGAAGCTGGAGAGAGAAGCTATGTATGACGTTATCCTCCTCTCCCCTCTCCCCCAGCAAAAATATTTCTCCAACATCTCGATGTTAGGGATAAAAGAAGGAACACAAGCCTAGTGGCCTGTGACTTAGGACTCAGAATCCAGTGCGGGCTGGGGGAGAGGAGGGGAAGGAAGGATACGTCAAACCAGCAAAAAAATATGTAAACACCGTATTAACTGTTGGAAGAAAATGGGCTGCCTTTGAGATTACTTCGGCCTCGGGGCCAGGTGGTTTCACGGAGCAATGCTGAGAATTACACTGTAAGCGACTATGAGAACCGGACACTGGACATTTTCACAACACTAATAAGTCATAACGTGTGAGCCCGTCCACGAGCGTCCGCGGCCTCTTGGGAAGCCTGGAGAGACGCGGCGCCGCTCCCCCTCGAGCCCCTAGGGCGTGACGTCTGCGCGGCGGCTTGTCTGGAGGTAAGTTAGGGAGGATGCCATGTTTATCTTTCAGCCGGCATCCGGGACTACTCACATGCCCGTTCTTCCGCAGACATCCTTAATTTTTAGTCTTTCCGCGAACTTATTTCATGAAAGGTTGCCTACCCCCACGTAAATAAAAACAACAGTTTTTTCCCTCCGCCGCAGCTAGAGGATCTGACGGGGTTAAGACAGCGGAGGCTGCGCCTGCGCAGTACGAACAAAGGAGGCCAAGCCCGAGTTGGGCATCACGCGAAGCCTGCCCTTCTTCCGGCGCGAAAGGCTGTACCATTCTCAGACCTAATCATTGTTTGTCCTAATTCACACGCGTCATTTTCCAAGGTAACGTGTGCTTTCCTCAGCCACTAGATTCTAGTGACTAGAAGGTTCCTCTGTCCCTTAGCTATTCTGTAAGTGCTGTTTAGATCGTCGCGTCCCCGCAGGTACCCGCCACCCCCGAATGGTCTGCTCCAACCTCACTTCCGGTTCTAGGTGTCATGGCTGCCCCGAGAGGCTAGGACGAGTTTGCGCCGGTTGTGCGGGGTCCGAAGCCCACGCCTGGGAAACCCCGCGAGGTAAAGCTGTGCCTTGCTTGCGGAGGCGACAGCGTCTCGCGTGCCCGGAGATGGCGGCGTCCGGGAGCGGTATGGCCCAGAAAACCTGGGAATTGGTCAACAACATGCAGGAAGCCCAGAGCATCGACGAAATCTACAAATACGACAAGAAACAGCAGCAAGAAATCCTGGCGGCGAAGCCCTGGACTAAGGAGTGAGGAGGTCCCTGGCGAGACGCAGGGGAGGGGGGCCGGTGGGCGGGCGTCTGGGAGACCCAGCGAGAGTCGGGGGCTGACGGGTGGGGAGCTTGAGTTTTCGGGACCAGGGAGGAGAGAGAATGTGCACCCGGGAAACGTCGGCCTTTCACACCCCCAGGTAGAGCCTCAGCCCCTCCGCCGGGGCTTTCTTCGCCCCCCCCCCCTTTCTGCTGCTTTAACATGTTTGCCTCTGGAGGGCGGAAAAGGAAAACAAATGGTGATTCGGGGTGTCCCTTCTCAACATCCCTGTTGTGCTACATGCCACACACGCTGCCTTGAACCTGATGTCGATATGCACCTTGTGGGGCCCTTCACTTGACCCCGGGCTGGATCCTGCAGCTGCCGGCAGGAGTGGAGCCGGCCCCGGGGGCTCAGGAGCCGCTTGTTAAGGTTCTGCCATTGCTGATAGTGATTTCAGAAACACACGAGACCTGCCCAGGCTACTGTTACTCCATCGGTCCACATGCACTAGACAGGAGATCCATAGAGCGAAAGGCCCCCGTGTCCCTGGGAATGGTGGCAAGTTGAGGATTCTCTACCTGAGAGCAGAATTGGTTCGGAAGGGAGTGAAAAGCGCAGTCTCTCTAACGGAGAGGTAAAAGGGAGAGCCGTGCTCAACAACAGAAACCATACTTCATCTGCCTCGCAGTTTTTTACAGCTGTCAGTATTCAAATCCAGCAACGTTCATCGAGTACTGAATAGAGGCTGAGCACTAAGCTAAAAACCTCATGTGTCATTTAATCCTCATGACAACCCAGGCAAATACAGTAACTTATCTCAATAACTTGTTGATTTTTCTTGTTCCCAGTAAATGCAGGAGCCCAGATTGTAATTCATGTCTTGACTCCCAAGACCAGGTCTCCATGTCTTCCATTTCTGATTGAAATCTGTGGGCAGACGTCTTAAAAAGGCTTCTCAGAGACATTGACTGACCACTCTCTACAGACTGGTTAGTTTGCCTGGTGGTCTGCCTGCTTCTATAGCAGGCTATGCATTTTAGGTTGATGCAGCCTATTAAATATTTGGAAACTATCATCTTGCCTCACTGCCTGATTTTGGCTCTCATTGTATTCATCTTAGCTGTCTTGGGCTACATCAGCGAGATGGCAAATGTAATTTTATTCAAGAGTACAGTGGGGCCTTGACTTACGAGTTTAATTCGTTTGGAGACCGAGCTCGTTAAGGAGCTCGTTAACTCAAATTACTCTGTCAACTCAAAGCAAAAAATCAGCCGAGAGACAGCTGGTATCTCAAAAAACTCATTAGTCGGGACACTCGTAAGTCAAGGCCCCACTGTAGTTTAGTCATATCCATAGATGATAAAGTCTGAAATAATGATGATTGAAGAACTCAAGGTATTAGGGCTACATTTTTTATTTTGAGGCTCATACCACAGAGACAAGTTTAGTATGTGTCAGGCACTAAGGCACTAAACTACGCACTTTATATACATTATTTCATTTAGTTTATTTCCTCCTAACAACTCTATGAAATATCCCTATTTACAGATGAGGAAACTGAGGCACCGATATTAAGTGGTTTCAAGGCCACAGTTAGAACTTGGCAGTGCAAGGATTCAACCTTAAGTAAATGGATGTCAGAGCCCACATTCTTAACCACGAGGCCAGAGGTTAGGCCTGAGAATAGTTAGGCACAACCATCCAACTAGAATCACAGTCAGAGACTTGTTGATCCCAAAATTAATGGGGGGAAAAGGACTTTTGAACTGGTCATGTAGTTACTTACCTCTTTACTGTTAGAGTAATGTATTCTAAAAAACTATTTCATACCCTTCCCTTGCCCCAAGAGGAAATATTTGTCCGAACTGTGACATGTTTATCATTTCCATCCCCCTGCAGAAAAACTCTGTCCTTTTCTACTTCTTTTTTCTTTCCCACATTTTACACTTTTTCCCCCTTCCATCACTGTAAATTTCTTCAATACTTACTCAATATCTTCAAACAAACTCTTTTGAAATTGTACTTTATATAAGAAAGTTATTACACTGTGCTTTTGTTTTGCAGTCACCATTACTTTAAGTACTGCAAAATCTCAGCATTGGCTCTACTGAAAATGGTGATGCACGCCAGATCAGGAGGCAACTTGGAAGTGATGGGCTTGATGCTGGGAAAGGTGGATGGTGAAACGATGATCATTACGGACAGTTTCGCTCTGCCTGTAGAGGGCACTGAAACCCGAGTAAATGCTCAGGCTGCTGCGTATGAGTACATGGCCGCATATATCGAAAATGCCAAGCAGGTAAAAATGTTGTTCTTTCAAGTGCAGTTACTGCAAGTTAAAGAGTCTCATGGTGACTTTCGACTTGCTAAACTTAAAGCTGTCCTCTTTAAAGTTTATATTTTAAGTTATTTCAACAATTTCTATGTAAAATGTATATGAGATTAGCATTAATTTTTTAAAAAATAAGTCCTCACACCCGAGAGAGTAGATCTTAAAAGTTCTTATCACAAGAAAAGAATTGTAACTATGTGTGGTGATGGCTGTTAATTAACACTTATTGTGATCATCTGTAGTATATACATATTGAATCATTACGATGTACACCTGAACTAATATAATATAGTGTTATATGTCAATTATATCTCAAAAAAAATTTTTTTAATTCTCACATTCATTATCAGATGTGTGTTTAAAACCAAAGCCTTAGTAATAACCTAAATGTTGCTGAGTAGAAAACTGATTAAATAAATTATGGTATAGTCATACAATGAACTGCTAACCAGCCTTTAAAAAAATAAAAATAAAAAAGTAGTTTTTAAGTGCAAAAGCAAAGTGTAGAACACTGTATGTGGTATATGCCATCGTGTGTGTTTCTATTAATCTACATGTATACAAAGAATATCTCAGGGAGATAGGTATGTAAGCAGTTGGGTATAGTAGTAACATCTGGGCTGAGAAACTGGATAGTTGAGAAGGAGGTAGGAAGAAGACTGAATAACCTTTGTATCTTGTTAATTTTTTGTTTTGGTATGTATTATCCAAACCTTTTTTTTTTACTTGAAAGCAGCATATTCTATGAACTAATCTGCACATTATTATTTTACTATAATGCTATGTAAACAGACAAATAAGTTTCTCTAAGATTAAACAGGAACCTCAAGCTCCCTTGCCCACTTCATTTGTTAGGTTGGCCGCCTTGAAAATGCAATTGGCTGGTATCATAGCCACCCTGGCTATGGCTGCTGGCTTTCTGGGATTGATGTTAGTACTCAGATGCTCAATCAGCAGTTCCAGGAGCCATTTGTAGCAGTGGTGGTAAGTATTTTTACAACCCATTTTAATTAAGTTCCTTATGAAGATTACTAAAGCAAGTATACCGAGAAATAAAACTAGTGTAGTAAGAGCAAGGTTCTGGTGTCAATCTGCCTAGGTTTGAACCTGAATTCTACCTCTTAGAAACTGGGACTTTGAACAAGTTACTTTATCTCTCTGTGTCCCTTCCCCCTCTCAGATGAGGGTGATCCCAGCACCTGTGTCTCAGTGTTGATTGAAATGAGTACATCAGGAATTGCTAGAGTAGCTCTTGCTACGTTTAGCGTTCTAGATGCAATCCAGGCTACTATGAGGAAGGCAGGAATTATTCATCTAAAAGAAAAAAATAATTTTGAAAAAGAGAAGCAAATCTTCAAATAATATTCTTAAATAATATACTAATTATATCTAATTTCTAAATTAGCTATAAGACATTTCTATACTTACCACTTCATTGAACTTTAATGTGCAATAGATTTTTAGTTTGTTATTTTTTTCCTGTTATTTGATTATTTTAATTAGTGTGTGTGTGTGTATAGTGTTACATGTAGATATATATTTCTAGGTTTAAAGTGTTTAAACAAATGCAAGTATCTAATGATTTTATAATTGGCAGATATTAAATATATCCTTCTTGTAGATTGATCCAACAAGAACAATATCTGCAGGGAAAGTGAATCTTGGAGCCTTCAGGACATACCCAAAGGTAATTTTAAAAATTACAAGTCAGTATAACTTTTTTTTTTAATTAAATCTTTATTGTTCAGATTATTACAGTTGTTCCTCTTTTTTCCCCCCATAACTCCCCTCCACCTGGTTCCAACCCCACCCCATGCCCTTACCTCCCGCCACTGTCCTCATCCATAAGTGTAAGATTTTTGTCCAATCTCTTTCTGTACCCCTCACACCCCCTTCCCCTCAAGAATTGTCAATTCACTCTCTTTCTATGCCCCTGCTTCTATTATATTCACTAGTTTATTCTGACTTAATTTTTAGATTCACTTGTTGATAGATATTTATTCGTTGTCACTTTGTTGTTCATAATTTTTATCTTTACCTTTTTCTTCTTCTTCCTCTTCTTAAAGAATATCCTTCAGCATTTCATATAATCCTGGTTTGGTGGTGATGAACTCCTTTAGCTTTTTCTTGTCTGTGAAGCTCTTTATCCTACCTTCAATTCTACATGATAGCTTTGCTGGGTAGAGTAATCTTGGTTGTAGGTTCTTGCTATTCATCACTTTGAATATTTCTTGCCACTCCCTTCTGGCCTGCAT